AATAAATTTGGCAGCAAAATAAATTAATCTTATCAATAAATAAAGTATATAAATTAATATCTTCCAAAAAAGGGCAATAATATAAAGATCTTGGCGAGAAATGAATGTGCACAATCAAATCCGTCGAGAATGAAAATGAGCATCTGATGGAAAATGAAATATTATAAAATCTTTCTATTGACCAATCAAAACGCGCCATGTGGCACCATTAGAAAAAGGAAGTCGAAGCCACCTATCCCCTTATAAATAGGAGCCATGGCCAGTTCATTTGAGACACCGAAGTTTCATCGATTATTCAAGCAAAGGGGTAAGTGTCTAAACTCTCTGTATTGTTCTTCATGTTCTTCGTGTCCTTCGAAGCGTTCTTCATCGAAAGTCACTAATTTGGACAAATGATCCAATATTGGTTGACGAATCGATGAAGTTAACGTTCTTCGTCGTATGTCCAAGCCGGAGGAAGGATCAAAACTCTCAAAACCGTTGAGAAATTCATCAAAGCCAAGGGAATGTCTTTAAAGTTCCTCTCAAAGCTTCAAGATATTCATCGCGTTCTTTAACAAAGCATCAGCTAGACCCTCTTCGATCCAAAAGTCAAAGGGACACACCGCCAAAAGTGTTATGGAGCACCAAATCCACCTTTTCAAGGATCAAAGCTCCAAAAGCCATTGAAGAGTCCATCAAAGCCAACGAAGAGCATCCAAAGTTCATCCCAAAGCTTCGAGGTGTTCATCGCATTCTTCACCAAAGCAACAACTCGACCCTCTTCGATCCAAAAGTCAAAGGGACACGCCGCCAAAAGCGTTATGGAACACCAAATCCACCTCTTCAAAGATCAAAGCTGCGGATCATCCAAAGAAGACATCAAATCCAAAGTCAATTATCAAACCGCCCATACGGAGACCAAAGTCCTCCGAACGGCGGCAAAGCCAAACAAAAAATCAAAGCTGCGGATCATCCAAAGAAGACATCAAATCCAAAGCCGACGATCAAATCATCCACACGGAGACCGAAGCTCTCCAAAAGACGGCAAAGACAAAGCAAAGATCAAAGTTTCGGATCGTCCAAAGATGACATCAAATCCAAAGCCGACGATCGAATCGCCCACACGGAGACCAAAACTCTCCAAAAGGCGGCAATGCCAAACTAAAGATCAAAACCTCAGATCGTCCAAATAAGACATCAAATCCAAAGTCGACGATCAAATCGTCTGCACGGAGACCAAAGCTCTCTAAAATCTGAAAAAATCAAACCCAAGACCAAATCTCTTCAGATCAAAAAAGCCATAGAAAACCAAATCTCTTCAGATCAAAAAAGCCATTGAAAAACCAAGTTGGAAAACAAATCGACCCGGAAGGAGAATCAAATGACCCATTTAGAGAATAGAACCCGCTTTAAATTCAAATCAAATATAATTTGTACAAATTTTTGTGTTTATTAAAAATAACACAATTTTTTTGTGTACAATATTATTGGTATTTTAAGTATTTTTAGAATTATATCTCAATAAAATATATATAATATGAATATCATTTTATAGATAACAAAATTTTATATAATAAAAATAAATAAATAAAATATATTTTTTAATTTATAATTAACTTAAAACTAATTTTATGAAAGATAAGAAATTTTAAATATAGATAAAAATATTTATTTATTGAAGAGATATTAATAAAGAGGTTTTGAATGGATCCTACAAGTAAGAAATTATAAATTTAATTAAATTAATTTATATTTATTAAATATATTTAAAATGAATAAATTTATTAAAAATAAAAAGAGTCAGTCATTTTTTTGTAAAAAAGAGTCAGTTATACGTTGTTGCGGGACTGAGGGATTATATTTTAGTCCCATTTTAAATTTTAAAATTTATAATTATTTTAATATTTATTAAATTAATTACTTATCTTAGTTTTAAATTATAATTAAATTTAGTTATATATTTTTAATAATTTACTAATCATATTCTTTCTAAATGTAGTGTCTATAATACATTGACAAAGTCAGTAGCTGAGTCCGGGGAATATTATACAAAGATTTATAATGTGTAAATTTTAATATAGCTAGCAATCTATTCCTTAAAAAAGTTAAAATAGTTGATTTTGATAAATTAACTTTTCAATATTATAACATTTGCCTGAAGGATTAAAACATATATATATATATATTCATCTTTAAAAATTATTTGGATATTAGGTTTGCATTTCTTAACTTTTACTTTCTTCGTCATTTAAATATGTATATATTTTTTTTATTGTCATAAATATTTTTTAGCGAAAAAATATATTATTTTTTTATTATTATTTATTTTTATTAAAATTTATGTTCAAATATTTGAAGAAAGTATTATTTTTAATAAAAATACTCCCTTTGTTTCAACTTAAAAATATTTTTTTTATTATTTTTTTTTGTTTGATTAAAAAGTATTTTTTTATTTTAGTAAAAATAATTATATATTAATTCCAAAATATTTTTATTTTTTATTTAAATTACAAACATATCATTACACATACAATTATTTTATAAATAAAATTAAAAGTAAAATTGTCAAAATATCTTATACGCTTTTACTAACTAATAAAATACTATTATTTTTATATTATTAAAAAATTACTAAAATAATAATATTATTTTTTTATCTATTATAAAAACTCATATGAGTACGTTCGGAGGAGGGAGTAATATTTTATACAAACTGTTTGTTAAAAAAGTAAAAATAAAAATATTATAATAAATTAAATAAACTACAAAATATTTTATGTATTTTAATTTTTCAAATATATTAACAATACTACCTCCGTCCAGTCAAGAAATAAATATAAACTAGTGACCTTATAGTTATTAAATACTTACACGACCTGTTATGCCAACTTAGCTATCTACTCTAACGTATTACTTTTTGTTTGTTATTATATTTTAACTATATAAATATTATTGATTATAAATTTATCTTTTAAAAATATATACATATTTATTTAATATATCATCATGAATTTTTAACAAAAAATTGAATAGCTACGAACGATATTGAATAAAGATATTGAAGATGATTTTATTATTTTGTTATTACTTTGAATAGCTACAAACAATAATAAGAAAAATTTATAGTTATTTTCGTTACTTATGTTGTGAAATTTGATTTTAAAAAGTCACAAAAATTATACTATGACAATATCTGTAATAATTTAAAATGTTGGAAATATTTTGGTTATTTTTGCTGCAACTTAAAATAGTCAAGAAAAAATTTCGTGACAATTTTTGTGACGAAATAATCAAAAGACACGGAATAGAAATATCTTGGACATTTTCGTTACACAAGCCGTTACTTTAAATAGTCACGGAAAGTTGTTTGTAGCTTTTTCAGCAAATATTATTTACGGAATAGTCAAAACAAAAAATTGTGACATAAATTTGTCACGAAATTACTTTCCGTGACTTTTAATTGTCACAGATTAAAATTTGCGACAAATTTCTGCAATTATCAACATTTTTTCTAGTAGTGCATGTTTTTGCGCCACTATATTTAATATTAAAAATATTTTTATATCTGTATAGTTTATTCTAAAAATATGATTGTATTTGTATTATAATTACTTTCCGTGACTTTTAATTGTCACAGATTAAAATTTGCGACAAATTTCTGCAATTATCAACCTTTTTTCTAGTAGTGCATGTTTTTGCGCCACTATATTTAATATTAAAAATATTTTTATATCTGTATAGTTTATTCTAAAAATATGATTGTATTTGTATTATAATTACTTTCCGTGACTTTTAATTGTCACAGATTAAAATTTGCGAAAAATTTCCGCAATTATCAACCTTTTTCTAGTAGTGCATGTTTTTGCGCCACTATATTTAATATTAAAAATATTTTTATATTTGTATAGTTTATTCTAAAAATATGATTGTATTTGTATTATAAGAGATTAATTGATGTATTTTTGTCATTTTTTTTTATTTGTACTACGTTTTGATATAATAATTAATATTTAAAGATCAATACAAAAAAATCACTGTGTACTTTGTGGCTGGACGGAGGTAGTATAATTTATCCTATTATATTGGTAAAATTATTCATAACTCCCCTGTGATTTCGAAATTTAGCATAAAATCTTTCTGTATTTTAAAAATTGTATGTCACCCCCTTATATTTTAAAAAATATTGCATGAAATCCCACTATCATGAAAACTCCTTTGTAGGATGAGAAGATGATATTTTATCTGTATGTTTTGCATGACGAGGGTTTCATGCAATCTTTTTGAAATATAAAAAAGCGTCGTACAATTTTTTAAAATAAAATAAAAATTTATGCTGAATTTTAAAACAACAGTGAAATTTTATATAATATTTTTTAAAATATAAAAGAATGTCAAACAAATTTTTAAAATAAAAAAAAAATTTAGGCTTAATTTCGAAATCATGTAAAGCCTATTATATTTATATTATTATTTTAATATGGGAAGGTGGAGTTGTATTTATTTTTGCAGAGTAGCAGGTCTTGACAGGTCCCCCCTTTCTTACAAAACATGGTCTCCGCTCCATTTCAGGCAATGCCTACAAAATAACGGTAGAGGGTTGAATGGCATGTATGTATGTATGGATGATCGGTTAAGCCAACGTGCGCCACGTGTCCCTAGCCCACCATTGCCTCAATACCGTATGGACCACCATGCACTTCCCACGTGGCGCGGCGTCGATCTGATCGGCGTTCCATCGGCTCGGCGGGGATCTACCCACAATCGCCTCTGTGGGTCCCGCAGGCGGTGGGAAGATGGTGGAACCCTCTCAGGATATTGAATGTGGGCCCCATCTAAGTAAGAGCCGGGACCATCGCTTTCGGAACAGATCCTGGACTCCAACGCCCGATCTCGAGTCACTCGAACGGTTGCGTGGATTCATCCTGGATCCCGACTCCCGGGACCTTCAAAGAATCAGTCTGCAGACGCCATGGCTGCTCTCTCTGTTCGCAGCTATAAAACTCTCACCAGGCAGCCCCATTTTTTTTTCACACAGAACACACACTTATTCTCTTCCCTTCTTAATTTTTCCACCATTCCCTCTGGTCAAGAAATTCTCGGTTTCGATTCCCATTTCCGATCTTCGTCCTCCAAACAGAGCCCTCTGTTTTCTCAGCTACTAAGGTCTGCAAATCTTTGATTCCTTTCCTAATAAATATTTTAGGGGGGCGACCAAATCATCTCTGTTAATGCGTTTCTTTTGCAGCCGAAAATGACGAACCAAAATGTGGTTGTTTCCGACGCCAACATGGCGGTAGCGGTGGCGGTTTCCGGTTCATCCATTTTCAACACGGCGGCGCAGAAACCGCCGCCGGCGCCGGGAACTTACATCACCCTATCGAAGAAGAAGTTCCTCCAGAATCTGGACATCAATTCCGGCGCCAGAATCAACGCCTGGGTCGATTCAATGAGGGCTTCTTCGCCAACACACATCAAATCCGACGACCAACTCCCCTGGACCGTAAGCCCCTCCATTTTCCCTTTCTAGCGTCTCTGTGTGTAAGCATATATATATACATACATACAAAGATTCTGTTTGTATGTATAGGCGGCCGTCTGTGCTGTGCTGTGCTGTGCTGTGCTTTTCAGGGACACGTGTCCAATATTTCTTATTATTAATTTTTGTAACCGAAACGAAACAGATGCAGCACCCGTCGGCGCTGGACCTGTTCGAGGAAATCAGCAGCGCCTCCAAGGGGAAGCAGATCGTTATGTTCCTCGACTACGACGGCACTCTTTCCCCCATCGTTGACGATCCGGACAGGGCCTTCATGTCCGAATCGGTACGGTACACCGCACTAGATTACTTGATTACCCCCAATTTCAATTCCGCCAAGCCCTAAATGAAATAAAAAGTTCGTCCGTCGTAATTTTGGGTTGCGCAGATGCGGGCGACAGTGAGGAAGCTCGCCAGATACTTCCCAACGGCCATAGTGAGCGGGCGATGCAGGGACAAGGTACAGCTTCTTCAATCGGGCAATATATGGGAAGTTAGGGTTTTGATAGCAATTGAATTGGGGGTTTTTAATCTACGATCAGGTTTACAATTTTGTGCGGTTGGCGGAGCTTTACTACGCCGGCAGCCATGGGATGGACATCAAAGGTCCGTCCAAGGGCTGCAAATATAAGGTGAACGAATTTGCCTGTTTACGAGTTCTTTGTTTCTTATGCTTTCAATGTGTTTGTTAAAATGCCTGTGTGGAATATTTCTTTCCCCAGGATGCTCAAGCAGTTCTTTTCCAGCCTGCTAGTGATTACCTTCCCATGATTGATGAGGTTTTGCATCATCAGTGGAATATTAAATTGTTTTCTTGATTTAAATAGTATGATTGTTTCTGGGAGATAAAATAGTTTAAGCTTTGCATAATTATCTGCTTTATCAGGTTTATAAAGCACTTTTGGAAGTGACAAAAGACACTCCTGGTGCTAAGGTTGAGAACAACAAGTTCTGTGTTTCGGTGCATTTTCGCCGTGTTGATGAGGAGGTAATTACTTTGTAGAACTGAGATTTCATCTTATTTGATTCCTTAGTCCCTCTTTGCGTTTAGATCTTGTATTGCAGCTCTTTTTTGAACGCTGTAATGGTCAAGTTCGATTTTATATAGGCTCAAATGCATTTGAGTTGGTTTTTCAAGTTCTTGGCAAGAAATTCTTCTAAAATGTCATTATTTTCTAAGAGTAATATAAAATTTATTTGTGTACATATGTTTGCCTATGTAGATTGTTTGATGAATTAAAACCAGTAATATATATATGCATACACATGAATGGTATGCAGATTTACTGCTACCCTTGCACCCCATGAATCCATTCCAATGGAGCTTACGATGTCCATACTGAAAGTTCTATAGCTTGCCACTGCTTTATGTCTATTGCGCTGCCACTAAGACTTGTTGCAGTGAACTTTGATTAAGCCTGTAGTTTTGTACAGTTGATTTTAGACTTAAGTGGGACAGATGTGTTTATTTCTTGATAAAACATGAGTACTGAAGTGTTTTTTTTTTTTTTTTTTTTTGTTTTTTTAATAACCTGATAAGTGGGAGCTGAACCATAACCCCTGTCTGAATTCAACACAGGAATGGACTGAACTTGCCAAGCGAGTTGGATTGGTGCTGGAAGGTTATCCGAGCCTGCGTTTGACCCAAGGAAGAAAGGTGTGTCAGTTTGCACACTCTCTCTCGGAAATTTATTAAAATCAATGCATACATTTACTAAACTTTGCAGTAGTTCATTTGGCTAAGTGGTGCATCCTTAATGAATGAAGGTGTTAGAGATTCGCCCGACTATTAAATGGGACAAAGGGAAGGCTCTTGAGTTCCTGTTAGAATCTCTCGGTATGTCATTTACTTGTCCTTTCAGATTTTTGTGCTTTGGGTATACATCATATATATGTATGTATTATCGACATTCAGATACATGTCAATTAATCAAGTCTCTCTCTGTGTGTGTACTGCAGGATATGCCAATTGTGCAGATGTATTCCCAATTTACATTGGCGATGATAGAACTGATGAAGATGCCTTTAAGGTATGATTAAGTTAAATAAAGATACAATCTCTTTTCCTATTTATTGATTATAATATCAATGTGATTTAAAATTTTATTTGGGGCTAAATAGGTGTTGAGGGAAAGAGGTCAAGGATTTGGTATTCTTGTTTCAAGAACTCCAAAAGACACCAATGCATCTTACTCTTTGCAAGAGCCATCTGAGGTAAATTAACAAAAGTAAACAAGATAATCCATTCAAATATATGTGTACAAATAGCGTCTTCAATTTATAATAAATTAGAACTAAATTGTTTTATGGGTTTTTATTTATTTATTTTTCGGTCAGTAATATCAACTTTATTCCATTGCTTTTAGGTGATGGCATTCTTGCGCCGCTTGGTAGAGTGGAAACGACTATCGTTAAGGAGACAGTTCAGAATGAGGAGACGTCTAGAGGAGATCAAGATAACAATATGAGAGTGTATTGTATTTTTGTGGAAAATTGTATATTTTCCATAGCATAGGTTAAAGAATGACTGGTCTGGGTATATATATAACCTTTGTTAGAGTTAAGTGAATATTAGGGATGATGGGCAAAAAGGGATGAATATAAAAGAATCCCTTGTGTTGTATTGGCACAAAACAAAGCCCTTGTACATTATTTTGATTGTAATTAGAAGGAATGTACGAGGGCATATTTGTAATCCAAGATGTTGGTTATCCAAATCCAAGTGAAATAGAGATGGCCTCTTTTGATTTGATGTAGTGATTAATTGAGAATGAGGATGCATGACATAGAGAAGGTTAGGTGATTTTAAGATCCCATGGCCGTTTCTGTTTCTGTTTCTATTTACATATACATATGATATTGGGAGAGGAGAGCAGCAATTGACTTAAGAATCTGGACGTGTATTTTAACCGGATACAGAAGAGATTCCCACGCCATTACCTGGATTGGATTCCCTCACGTGCTCATTTTCTCCCTTATCACATACTTAATATATATTCTTTCTACCACCTTTTTCTCTTCTCTCTTTTTTTCTATTTGAAGTGGGTAACGGGTAAACTCAGGATTAAACCTAATACTCTGTAAAATAGGTTTGACAAAAAAAAAAATTAGGGACTACCACCGGTTTTTTATAATAAATATAGTTATTTGATTAAATAGCATTGTTGGGCCTGACCCAAAATGTGTATATATATATTTGATTTTGTTTGAGTGGGCATATAAGAACATACACAGTGGGCACAAGAAAGGCTCAATGTAATAATATTATGAATCACGGTGTATTTTCAAAGAACAGAACAAAATAAGAGAAAAATGCATCGATAAAGCCTCAATTGCACGAGGTTCCGTCGATGCATTGAATTTTCAACCAGGAAATGTGAACCACTATGTTATTTTTATTTGGTAAGAATGAAAAAAGCTTCGATCAAGAAATGTGATCCACTATGTGATTTTTACTTGGCAAAGAATGAAAAAAGTTTTGATTTGGAGATAAAAGCCATCTAAAAGACTTCACTGTATATGGTTTAATATAGCTCACTACATTGAAATTTGTAGAGATAAATAGGACAATCCTTTTAGGCAAAAAATGGCAGCCTATATTAGCTAGGCTTAACGAGGGCATATGAAAGCATACCGATTGAGTTTTAAATTAATCAAATAATTTATTTCGATTTGGTATTCAATTCGAAAATTTGATATTCACATTCAAAATTTTATAATTCGAAATTCAAATGAAGATATTCAATTTGATTCGAATATGGATCATATACAATTATGAAATTTTAATATTTGTAAATATTCGATTCCATAATAAAAAAAAATATATTATAAATATATTATACATATAAATGTATTATTATCCAAAATATATAAATCAAACCTAATTTATTTATAATATTACGTTGATTTAATATAAATAAATTATCTTTCCGACTCATTTCAAAATACTCTTTTTACTATTTTTTTTCCACTCAAAGAGTACTTTATATACAAATATCAAAATACCTCTATTTTACATAAATTACAAAATATCATTACTTTATTTAAACTTTTTAAGGATAAAAGTATCAAATTATCTTACACACTTTCACTAACCAATAAATACTATTAATTCTTAATTTACTACAAAAGAATAAATGACCCATTTGAAATGGGACGGAGGGAATATATAATATAATTAAACTACAACTGTATAATAATATTTGTATTTTTGTTAAAGAAAAAACGTACTATCAATGTTGTGTAATATTTGACTCAGGCTGACTAAGAAACACATAAACATATCAAGAATTTTATTTTATTTTATTTTTTAAAATAAAAATGTTTTTTTATATGCTCTATAGCACAATCGGTTAGAATCTAGTAGCATAAAAGGGGTAGCTTAGATTAGCACAACAAAATTGTTGGCCTAAGGACAAGAATTAATCAAATATATGAAAAAGAAGTTCCATATGATTAAGAAACGAATTGGAGTTAAAACTTGAATTTAAGATTAAGTTTTTAAGAAAATGATTAAGAAACAAATTGGAGGTAAAACTTGAATTTAATATTAAGAGTTTTTAAGCAAATGATTAAGAAACGATTTGGAGTTAACACTTGGATTTAAGAGAAAAATAAACAATGAAGTTACAGAAGGTTGTCCGACACATGAGGAGGGTGTCGGACGCTTGTATGGCGACCCCATTCGGTTGCCAGCAAGGCTTCATTACCAAAAGCCGTTCGGATTAGATTTTCATTGACCATCCACTTTCCCGGAATGTTCAGATTCTAGAATTCACATTTTTTTCAAAGAGGACTCTCTCTCAACCATTGAGCACATAAACCAATTCACGGAGTAATGTAGAGGCGAGTTCATAAATAGAAACTTCAATTATTTTCATTGTCCCTGACTGGAGCAGCCTTCACGTGGTATGCCTCGTGGACAGATCTAAAAAGAACATTCCATGACAGATTTTACAGACCACTACCAGAGGTTACGGTCTCCAACCTCACCAATTTGCACCAAAAGAATCCATTGAATAGTTTTTCAAATGTTTCCGGAAGGCCGAGGGTCGATGCCAAGTGCGCACAACGGGGAACCATATTGTCAACATGGCAATCAACAATATGAGCCGTCCGCTTTGGAAGAAGTTGGCACTACAGGAGTACCAGGACTTCCAACAACTAACTTTAACAACTGTCAAGGTGGACCAGCTCCTAATGGATGCTCAGACAGCCCAAGACCGGGAAATCGGAATAAAGCTTATCTTTTACATGCGCAGGAAGAGCGCTCCGATGAAACCATAGATGGGACCCTCTTGATAAAAAAACAAGATCTAAATGTAGATACCCAACCATCCTCGGGTTCCAGCGGCAAAAACATGAATCCTGTCCCGAGAAAGACAACATTTAAGAGGCTTGGGAGGTCGATTAAATCTTCGAGGAGTTCGGTGTGGGATAAGCCGCCACTTAGCAATACAGTGGTAGATCTCAGCTTCGACAAAGATGGCAAAGTGTGGCACGTGAGCTCCAAGGACTAGGTGATTATTACGCCGCATCATAAACACCACTCTGAACAACCACCTAAGGATAGGAGCTAGACCAACAACTTGAGGTCGAAAAAGACCAGACCTCTCACTCGAAAGCAAAAGCAAAAGACGGCGTTAATTCCGGGAAGTTAGGTTTGGTTGAGAGGAGTTAGAGTGGTAGGATAGGCAGCTTTGGACAAGCCACACGCAAGAAAAATTGGGTAAAAAAACGCTAGATAAAAATGATTTGTGATACCAACTTGGCACGCGTCAAGAATAGAGCCCGAAATAGGTAATCCTAGCGCCAAGGCTGTCCCCGAACAATGGCGTCCACTGGAGGACCTGATGGTTCTAGCTCCGGAGGACAAACCTATGATTGGGGCTCTTGAGGATGATGAAACTTTAGAGCCTAATCTCGACATCATAGCCAACGATCAAGATTTGGAGCGACTCCTACAGTGTCAAAATGACTTCAAGGTCGATACGGTGGGATTTTTTCCAAAAAAATGGAGATCCTTTTAGCCAAATTGTCGTAATTCCTAAGGGGCGAATCTTATCCTAGGATGATCCAAATTAGCTTTCCGATAAATTCAAAAATAAAAAAGCTATCAGAATGGGGAGTGCCACGTAAAACTGGACCAAGGTACCACAAAAAATTTATACAAAAATATTGAGCTTCAAAATTCGATATTTCATTCAAAACTTTTCTCACAAATATTTTTGCGGGGGTATTGTATCCCAACAAAAAATCTAGTGCACGTAGCCCAGTCGAAGGCCAACCCCGGAGAGCCCAAAGCCCAAGCAACATATATCCCAAAGATAGGAAAGTGATACTTTAAAGTGAGACGGATGAAAATTGTAAAAATGATACTTTGAATTGAGACGAAGAAAGTATAATATTATATTTTAATTTTTTTAAATATTAATCTATATTAATATTAATATATTGAAACATATAATTTACTATTTTTAAAATTGAAATTATTTAAAATAAATTAACATATACATTTATAGATAGTTTTTGTTAAATTTAAAATTTTAAAATTTTGAATAATATTTAATTAACCTTCTTTTAGAATTTTTTTTGAAGGTAATCGGTTCTTGATAAAGGTAATAAATATGTAATAATTGTATTTCTTGTAGAAGGTAATGAAGAAAATTCTTATAGTAAAAAATAAAATCAAGCATAAATGTAATATAGAAAATGACTGCAACCGATGCTCTTAGCGACATTTAATACTATGTGGGTAATTTATATACTAAATTATACATATTGTTTAAATTATTATATATTTAAACATAATAAATTAGGTATAAAATATTTATAAAAGAATGATAATTACAAATAAAATATTTTAAGTAATTATAGGAATAATAAAATTTTAAATTTTAAAAATTTAATTTTAATCAAAATAATTAATTTAATATTATTTGAATCATTTACTTTGTATCAAAGATTATATTTGTATTATTTTTTTTTTTTTTTTTTTCGTAGTTGAAAATTGTATGAGTTAATATTAATTGTTAGATTTATAGCAATCATTATATATATATATATTTTATTGTTAAAATCAATGTGAAATAAACTACACTGTATTTTGAATAAAGTATGTCATACGCCATTGAAATGTATATTAACTAGCAGGTATCTCGTGCTATGCACATATATTTTGTATAATAAATTATACATATATTTTGAATCATTATAAATCAAAAAATAATAAATTTCTTATTATAAAAAGCATCTATAAGAAAATTATAATTACAAATAAAATATTTTTCAAAAATTATAGAAACAATCAAATTTTAGATTTTAGAAATTTAACTATAATTAAATATCAATATTATTTCGCTCCGGTTATCGTAAAAATCGGGTCAAATTAGGATGGTGCTAATTTAACCTAATTAGCAAATGTGTATATAAAAAAATAACAAATATCGATATAGAATATAACACAATTTTTAATAGGATATTATATAATTATATATAGTTAAATATATCCTAATTTTAGCAAAATATATTTTGATTCGGTACAATAATAATTTGATCGAATTAGAAAATGTTTATAAAGACTATAACAAATTATCACATAATATATAACACATTATATAATACAATATCTGTTATATATCTTATAACGATTTGCTAATTGTTTCAAGTTAATGTGCTAACTTAGTGATATGACATATATTGTTTAATAATTTGGTCATATTATTTATACCGTTTATTCTCCATCAAAGGT